TTTGACTTTATTCGTGAGGTAGGGAGGCACGACATTCTTGAGGTAAGTGTAAACGTTTTTACTCCTGATTGCACGGTGGTCTTCAACGTTGCAAGCAGCGTGCCCCATTAATGCGAAATACATCGTTTAATCTTTACTGACCGTGGTAGGCGCGACAAACCACCCATGGGAAATACTGCACCTATACAACAGCTACATACTTTATAAACCATTGCATATTTTTAATATTGAAAGCTAAAGCATTTTTATCACCTCCCTCCCCCGCGATGCACGCAATATAAAGGTATATATTTTCTATATATAAAACGATTTACAGATTTTGTGCAAAATTTAGGAAATCATAACTATATTTAAGCATTATGAGACAAATCATAACCGCTGTGAGAATAACGGTAAAAGAACGGGTTGGCAGCCAGCAGAAATTCAAGGTATTTTCAGTGGTAAACAAAACAAAAACCTCGGAATAAACGCCTAAAAAATAAAAATACAATTAAAAAAAGAGGTCCGAGGACACCTAAGCACTTCTTATAAGTTGTGAATGTGAAAGCGTGCCGCCTGTGACATATTACTCCCGCCTCGTGTTGTCGAAGGGTCTGGTCCTCTTGTCGCCTGAGACGTTTTGAATCGCGATGCGCTTGCGCCTCACGTTCTCGAAAGGCTTTGTTCTGTTTCCTAGCGCGTTGCGCCGCTGCTCGTACCGCCCCCGTGTATTCGGAAACTTGACAAGGATGAGGGATTTCGCTGCCTGCCTCCTCGCTCGTTGTGCTGCATTATTCCGCTCCCTTGGTTTTTCTCCGGTGTACTTTCGAGCACGGACAGGTTTCGCTACTGCCGAGGTTGCGGCAGCCGCCGTTGTAGATATGCTTGAAGCACGGCCATGTTCGTCGGCGTCGAGAGGAGCAGAAGCGGCCGAGCGCGCGCCACCGTGTTCCTTTCACCGATGATGATGATGATGATGATGATGATGATGATGATGATGATGATGATGGCGATGATGATGATGATGATGATTATAATGATCGTTCACTTCAGCCGTTCTGTTTTTCTCCGGGTTGCTAAATCATTCAATCCCCATCTTGGGTACAAATCTGAAACGGATGACATAAAACCATAACGGTCGTACACAAACCGCAATGCTTTTTTTTGCTCAGTCTCAAACATATCAATTGACAGCTTTGTATGAGGGTCCCATACAACACATGCATATTCTAGCATTGGTCTTATGATGGTTTTAAAAGCAGTCAGTTTAGTTTCAGGTAAACAGAGGTTCATATTTCGTTTCAAAAACCAGAGCTTCCGCATTGCTTTACGAGCTATAAACTCAATATGTGCACTCCATGACCCGACGCACAATTCGTTATCAGGTTTATTGGCATTCTAAAACCGAGCAGTGACACCCCAGGCCGTGATAGTAAGCCTCCGCAGTCAAATGAAGCATCCTTCCCTTTAGGCTCCTAAATTTGAATGCTCGTAGTCTGCTAAACAAAGCAACGGCGCTAGAGGCCGTTTTTCTGACATACGAACAGAAGTGGTCGTCGTCACAGAAACTTGGCTTAATGAGCAAGTGACGAATGATAAGGTATTTCCTGCTGGTTACAACATTTTTCGAAAATAGCATTGTTCGAGAGGCGGGGGTGTGGCTATCGCTGTGAAAGATAGCATATCATGCTCTATTGTGAGCCGTACTTTCGACGCTGAAATGACTGGGGTAAAACTTCTTTTTTCAACGACGTCAATCCTTGTAGGTGCTTTTTATCGGCCGCCTCATGCTGACGTATCGCACCTGCTGGCACTACAGGAATTCTTATCTTACCATCGTTACACTCATGTTATACTAGCGGGTGACCTTAATTTACCACATATTGATTGAGATCATATACAACCACTGTGGGAGTGTCAGCAGTCTCATTTGTTGGTTGACATCGCTGGCGTCCCGGCGACCGGTACCGCAGTGTCGCGCTCGTCGCGACTTCGCATCTTCTAGCTTACAGATTTCGCCACCGCGAAACAAACGTGCCGACAGCCATCAAATTTTTGTTTTTATTTTAACGTTTATGTTAGCTTTTTCCTTCCTTGTGTAATAACACTTACTAGCAAGAAAATAACTCCCTCACACACACACAGAAAGAATACTTCCTTAGCCTCTAGGCCACAGATATACTTCGTTTCTCACCTTATAATGTACCGCGATGGAGGCTACAAGCTACACATCTGCAGTTCGTAGCTTGCCGTGACTTCGCGCTCTCCGCATCGCTCCGCCCTACCGGAAGGACACGTGACGCCCTCTGAGCTATGAGTTCGCTCTGGTGGCTCGTAACGTCTTTTGCGGTTCATCGTAAGTTAAAACCAACGAATGACTGAATGGAAAGCGCCGAATAAACAAGGACGAGGAAGGGGACCGAGACGAAGCGCACTCTCAACTGAAGGTTTATTGAAACAAACATTGACTATTAATACCGTATATCTGGCTGTTGGCTTAGAAATAAAAACGTCTTATTTGTCAAGTGCACTGACGGCGCACTAATACACAGGCTCTCCCTTTGCTCTCTCATGCAGAATGCCTCATGTACTTCTCGCGCTGTTTCGCTTGCGTATCTGCCCAGAACTGTTGTTTTTTTCCAATTCCGGACCACATTGGCACCTATCGCAGTGCACCGCGAGATTACCCGACGGGAACTGTTTCACTGACCAGGCATGTTCTTTGGCTCTCATTTATGCAACGCCCCGTTTGGCCCACATACGATTTCCCGCAACTTATTGTTATGTTATATACCACTGATGTTGCACACTCCACGTATTGCTTTGCGCGTTTCTTTTGGCACACTTTACCCTCTCCCTTTCCGTTGTTTACTTTTGAACATAGATGGGAAAGCTTGTATGGCGCTGAAAGCACCACTAGCACTTCAAAATGAGCCGCCACTGTTTTCCAGATTATGAGATAGAGTGCGAATGTAAGAAATCACCGCCGGTCTTGTTAGTTGTCTGGAAGGAATATGACCGTCATCTTTTTCTTCATCTTCGAAATAAGGTTACCCACTACTTGCCCCAAGAAGCGATCGGGGTACCCTCCGCGTTTTAGACAATTCACCTGCGTGAGGAAGCTTTCATCCGCGACATGGTGGCATGACTTGGCCAACGAGGCTCTCATTAGGCACGATGCTTGTTGTGAAGGAAGAAGTAAACGTGCTGCGGCGCGGGCTGCACGCACTTGCACTGGGACTTGCATGGCGTCTGGTTGGATTATGACAACTGGCGACGAGAGATAAACCTTAATATATTGACGCAGTGCCGCGACGAAGATATCGAGGAGAGGTACGTGACAAGATGCCGGCCGTCGGGAAGCTGGAAGCGTTTGATGCAAGTACAATTGAGTTTGCGGAATACCAGGAGCGTGTTCTCCTGTACTTCCTGGCCAACGATGTTGCCGATGAAAAGAAATCGGCCGTATTTCTGACAAGCTGCGGGACAGCAACATACTCACTGTTACGAAGTCTGCTCGCGCCAACGAAACCAGGGGAGGCGACGCTCACCGAAATCTTCGCAGCTCTCAATGCCCATTTCAAGCCCAGGGTATCGGAAGTTGTTGCAAGCTTCAAATTCTTCTCAAGGCGACGGCACGAAGGTGAGGCTGTCAGTGACTATGTAGCGGCGCTAAACAAGTTGGTAGATGACTGCAACTTCGGCACCACGCGCGACCGCATGATGAGGGACCAGATAGTGTCCGGTATCAACGACACGGGAATGCAGACACGGTTATTGGAATCGTCAGACCTGAACCTTGAGTCTGCAAAGCAACTGGTCATTGCAATGGAAGCCGCAAGGAAAGACGCCCACACCCTCTGTCCTCAGCCTGAGTCAGCGGCCCCAGTGGAGCCCACCAACTTTGTGGAACCTCCCAGACGGAATGCGGCTAACGCAGTCGAGCGTGGCTGTGATCGGTGTGGAGATAAACATCAAACGTCCCGGTGTCGCCACCGGGCAAGCACTTTTTTCAAGTGTGGACGTCAGGGGCACATTGCAAGGGCCTAGAGCAGCACCGACTGGCTCAAAGAATCGAATGGACTCTCGCTCTGTGCACCAAATGGACGACCTCCAGGAAACACAACCCGAGGTAGACGAGTGCGCCATGTGGTCGTTGCGATGAACGGAACCCGGGCCCATGCAGATTAAAGCCATCGTGAACGACGTGCCACTAGCCATGGAGCTGGACACCGGCGCCAGCGTTTCCATCATCGGTGAGCAAAAGTTCAATCCACTGTTTCCTGGAACGCCGTTAGAACACTCCGAAGTGAGACTGAAGAGCTATTCGGGAGAGCTCTCATCGGTTCTGGGGAAGATTACTGCAGCAGCCAAGGTGGGAACACTTGAGTCGACACTGCCCTTGTTTGTGGTGAAGGGGACATGTCCGACATTTCTGGGCAGAGACTGGATGGAAGCATTCAAGATTATTATTTCAAAGCCTGAGGGGGTGAGTGCGGTCCGTTCCGTCACAAGCCTAGTCGAACAATTCAGCGAAGTTTTTTCAGACACGCTTGGGACAATGCAGGGTGTGTCAGCAAACATCATCCTGAAGGAAGGGTCAAGACCGAAAATTTTTAAAGCACGACCAGTGCCATTCGCACTCCGAGGCAGAGTAGTAGAGGAACTTCAGCGTATGCAGCGCGAAGGCAACATACGCCCTGTCAAGACGTCGCATTGGGCTGCACCCGTAGTTCCTGTTGTCAAGCAAGATGGCCGCGTACGTCTTTGTGGCGACTTCAAGATCACCATCAATCCAGCGACGGTCAGCGAAAGCTATCCAATTCCTAGGATTGAAGAGCTGTTCGCGAAACTGACCAACGGGGTGAAGTTCACCAAGCTCGACCTAAAGGACGCGTATCAACAAGTCCAGCTGGGTCCACAGTCACAAGAATTGGTCACGATCAACACTCTGAAAGGCCTGTTCACGTTTACAAGGCTTCCGTTTGGCGTGGTGTCCGCCCCTGCCTTGTTCCAGCGAGAAATGGACAATCTCCTGGGTGATCTGCCGCACGTTGCGGTCT